TCGACAGACATGAAGAGGCTCGTCACGTTCGATCATCGCTGCCTTCGCAGCTTAGCTCATGTCTGGTGGGAGCACCGCGTGAGCAATGAGCGTGTTCGACGTCGCGTATTTGGTGCAGGAAGAGCGAGTGAACCGCTCAGCACCAGTATATCACGCACCAGCCTCCGATGGCTGGGCCAAGCGTTGCGCATGCCAGCACACCGACTCCCGCGACGTGCATTGTTTGCGCGTTGTGGGTGCGGTTGGAAGAGGAGGAGGGGAGGCCAAGTGATGACTTGGTCGAGAGAAATGAAAACCCTCACTTCAAAGTTGGCGTCGGTTGGTGCATCCCGACTGCCTGGCTGGGGTCCTAAAGACGGTGAACACGTTTGGTTGGACACACTTGCTGATATGGCTCGGAGCCGGCACCAATGGCGTTTGTGTTGTGATTTCCTTTGTCCATCCCCCTCCTGTTTAGTATCCACTCCAATCACGATCTCACCTGTTAGGCATAATACGATTCTCTTTTACGGCAGCCAGCTGTTAGCTCTCCGGAACGATGTCCATCCGTTACTGGGGACTCAGCGGGCGTGCCGCTGTTTGCCACTGTTTCCTCTTCTTTTCTTTTGTATTGCGGCACAATAGCTGAGGTGTTTTCCCACCACAAGCTAACGTGTAACGTAATGATGATGATGATATATTCACTTCTCATCCCCAATGAAAGCATCTGTATGATCATCATTTGATTGGCTTTTCTGTGCTTCAAAAAGTGACTCAGTCGATCTGAGTCGTTGGTTGTTTCGATTAGTTGTTTGGAACCTTAGCAAGTACAGATATTTTCTAACGAATGCTCCCACATACTGATATGCTAGCAGACAGGTCTTCGCTTGGTCAGTGTGGACAGCAGTTCTGCCGGAAGTAAACAACACGAGTAGAAGTGAGCACAAATTACTTTGAGTTGTCTGAAGCTGAGTTGGCCATTTCTATCTTGTATCCTAGTCGGGCTGCACGCAGGTGTTATCTGCAGATATTTTGTGAGTTTCTATTGCACCGAAATGTACTATCTGAGGAACTTGACGGATACGTCCATGAGCACTTGGTCAGTCTGTTCAACAATTCGCGTGCAACTAAATCAAACCGCGGAGGTTTCTCATTTCCTATATTTCTTACACTGATTTGGAAGTGAGGGAGAGACACTTGACTTGATATAAAACCATGTGGTCTTGAAATCATCCTCCGCTGAGATAATACAAGGTGAAGCCGCGGCTTTAGCTCTGATCGCAGTACAAACTGCGCACCACGGATGCGGAATTTAGTGTTGGTTTTTATGAGATCTCGAAGAAGAACACCTTTGAATGCCAAACAAACTGGGTCAGTGACCTCCAGAGGTGGTTTTTTAACGAAGTTGTGACTTGGCAAAAGTCAGATACAAGAGGGACGTTCCTGTCTTTCCATGAACCTAATGGATTCTTCTACGAACTGACGTGGGAGTAACTGCTACGTAAAGCCGAAATCAGTGGCCAGCCCCCTTGTCGATGACTAACACGAAAATGTATGCCAATTTACCTTTTTCGTGTTAGTTATCGGCAAAGGGCTGTGCACTGATCTAGCTAATTTGTCCCATCGCAATGAGGCTGGACCTTACCGTGGTGCGATGGTTTGCGTGCCTCAGCTATCTATTGAGCTATGCTGGATGGTGCTTTGCACCTTCAGAGGCACTCATCCCAGATTGATCAGTGGTTAGAGGCCAGACAAACTCAACCTTCTAGTCCTCTAGGTTAGTATTTGAAATGAGAGTGGCACCTTATTCCTTAAAACGGACTCCTTGTAGCCCACCGCCAAACCCGCTGCTCTTGGGTCAGGATTTTGAACCAAAGGCTTTGGTTGAGAACCCTAATCGTTCTCCTGTCCAGGCCTGGGCAACCTGACAGTATCCTGCCCACGCAGTGCTCATTGCGGCTATCCGGTGACGATGCAGCATGATTTGGCGTGTTTCTATAAATTTGAGAATAAACTATTCATTTATTTAAGTCGATGTTGGTATTCCCCTGAGTCCTCGGGCTGAAGCTGCTCTGGTTGTTTAGATTCCAATCAGTAGCGGGTTGTGTGCGGTCCGCATATTCCGGCTGGAAGCGAGCACAATGAAACTCCCGAGGAGCTCCGCGCACAACTCCGTGCTGGCCTGAAGAGAGACCGTGAATCCTGGTAATCTCATCGTCTTTCAGAGATGGAAATGACCACGGCCCTTGGTAACCGTCGAAACTTATTCCGTCTGATACGGGAAACGGGCAGAAGGAGATCTAGTGTTAATGAAACTATACGTGACGAGAGTGGACAGTCTATCCACAACTTGTCAAAACGCTTAGAGCGTTGGGCTGAGCACGTTGGAAAGCAATTTAATCGGTCGGAATTGTTAGATTTCTCGCCGGCCACTGAGCGCCCCCTCCGTGGGCTGTCCTTTTGGATCCACCCTCTCGCTCAGAAGTCGAACGTGATATCGCACTGTTGAAGTTACATAAACCACTGCCCTGATCTGTGAGAGCTCACTAACGTGATAAGTACTAAACAGATTAGCACTGATTGTCAACCGCCTCCGGCTCTGCTTTGCATCTTGGAAGTGCAAAGCGTTCCTCCAAGGTTAGTCTGAACCGCCTCCTTCACTGACCTTTGGTGGGAATCAGCTAGAAGTCGTTCAAAAATTCAACTACCTGGGAAGTTGTATCAGCGCCGGTGGGATTGAAAATAAGATCACGAACCGTATGACAAAAGCCCAAGAAATTTTGGATAACCTCCGCCACTTATGGCGCCGGCGCGATATCGTTCTTGCTCTAAAGAGTAGAGTCTACAGTGCAGCGGTGCGTTCGACCGTACTGTACTGTTGTGAAACTTGGCCCCCTAGATCAGCGGACTTAAAGAGGCTAGTCACCTTCGACTATCGGTGCCTTCGCAGTTTGGCGCAATCCGGTGGGAAAACCGCGTGCGTAACGAGCGTATTCGACGCTTAGTTTACGGCACAGGAAAAGGAAATGCATCGCTCAGCACTGTTATTTCACGCACCAGGCTACGATGGCACGGCCACGTGTTACGCATGCCAGCCCACCGACTCCAGCGATGTGTGTTGTTTGCGCGCCGGGGGTGTGAATGGACGAAGAGGTAAGGTGGCCAAGCGATGACTTGGTCGAGAGAAAGGAAGGCCTTCACTTTGAAACTGGTCTCAGTTGGAGCATCTCGGCTCCCTGGTTGGCGTCCGAAAGACAATGAACACGCTTGGCTGGATACACTTGTTGATAGCGCTAGGAGCCGACCTCAATGGCATTCGTGCTGTTAGGTTCTTTGTCCCACCCCATCCCTTTTAGCCATCTCCTACAACCACGATCCCAGTATTTAGCCTTTTATAATTTTGCATAGTAAATTATTATTTTTCTGCTGCATAGTAGCCGACAGGTAGCTTACCGGAACGATGCCCATCGGTTACCGGCAGCTGAGCTGGCTTGCTCCTGTTGCATTTTATTCACTTATTTCTTTTGGGTATTGCGGCACAGTAGCTGAGGTGTTTCCTACCTCTAGCTAACGTATATAGTGTGTGTGCTGTACAGTATAACAAATACACTAACCGGTCGTTTGCCAAAGCTTTTGAAACGATGACTTCTCGATCGGTTCTAGATATTTTTTAAGATATCCAATTCTGCTTGTATCTAAGAACCACCGATGATAAGCGCTAAGATAATTTATTTGTATAGCCCATGTATCTTGTGTCTACGGTTAGGGCGACACAGATAGATCAAGCTACTTATGGAATCCTATACGAATAAACAACAATGCAGGGTGTAGTGACCTGGAGATTCCCCCGTATGACCGTGTAAATTATTCTAAAATATATTAAAATTATAGCTTTCCTGTGTGTTAGGGAATCAGGCGGCTTGCTTGTTGGAACCTTGTCTACGTTTGTCGGAAACACGAACACGATCTGCGCCTTCGGTGCGCATGACTCGACTGCGAACGATGCTCCGTCAACGCACTCGACGCCCAACTACATCCTCCCTAGTTAGCTCTCTTCTGGTGCCCTATTTTTAGCATTAGCTAACACTTCACCCGTCCAATAAACTATTTCCCTAGCTTACTTTTGTGCGTTCTACCCATTGCTTTTGGTTGGCCGTCTAGTATCGTACCGGATATATAGCGCACGATCATCGCGTTATAAGGGAAAGACTACCGCTGCACAATATCGAACATTCGAACAGTAGCATTCAAGTGAACACAGACGGACACCTTCGATTCCTTGGGTACATGAAAAAACTAAATATTATGAAAAGTATTTACCGGCATAACTCAAGTGAACGGGAGAAATATCGGACCACAATTTTGGATTGCATACAGACAGCACTAATGAGAAATCGAAGTTCGTGGCATCTTAAAGAATTATGGAAACTGGGGTGCCCCAAAAACCTTTGGGTGTAAAATATGTGTTCATACCGTGCCTCAATGGGAGTGCCGATGGCACACAAATCGGCCCCTCATCACTAGCATATCGGCTATTCGCGAGTTATAAAAATAAGCGACTTGCGATGTAGCCGGTCTGCGGGCATCACGGTAACACGTTAACAGGTAAGAGGTCGGTCGGTTTTGATTCCTGTTATCATTACTCTCATATTCCTCTCCGGCACTCTTCCTTCCCTCTTTCATGCTTCCTTAGCTGCTTCCTTTACATCGGCCTCTTACTAGTCGGCTCGAGCGTACAGCCGTCTACGAGGTATTTATTTTGCATTGCAGATTGTCACACTACTTAGACTCGGAAGAGCTCAGGACGCCGGACCGGAGGAATATTACATGCGAAATAGAACGGATTGTTTACAGGAAGAATTAAAACGTCTAACGCAATCTTCAGCACAAGCAAGCTTTTATTTTTGTTTCAGTCATATTACTACGAACGGCTAAAAACTCGTACAAATTTGACGGCTGATTTCCATTTGCGCGACAGCCGAGAGGCCATGAATAGCGGGAAATTAAAAATCCCTACTAACCTGTTTATCAAAAGCAAGCCACGAAGGTAGTCGAAGTCCAATAGACTCGGGATATTTGCTTGTGGGTGGATCAATTCTTTGCCCTGGTAACCGTTCACCGCCAATACCGGGTTTATCCACACCAAACTGATAAGATATTCCGCCTTTGTTGTTAAAGTAATGAGACTTGTGAAATTTTTCTTTTCCTATCTGACACTAATTATGTAGGTATTCTTCTCTTACATTCCTGTCGAAAGTATTTCCAGGAAGAAAGGGCAAAGCCATGTTGGCGATCGGACCCCTGTGCTAACAGAGGAGGATAGTAGCATATGGAGATTGTGCGTTTGGAAATGCCAGCAGAATTTATGGGTTAAGCGATTACAAATTATAAGCTAGTAGTGCCGAGTTTTTGATAAACAGAGTTAGTGCTAACAACTGGTAGCTATAGGATTATCCATACAAATAAGTTAAGTAGTTAGACCTGTTGTACACATTTAATCAACCATATTATTTACACACACGCTGTTTGTGTTACTTTTTTAAATTCGCATTATGCTGGCTTTAAATAATTTTGTTCATTTTTTGCTTTCTTGTTCTAAACTTTTTGTTTATGTTTTTAGCTGCAACGCGAAACACTAATTACCTTTATTTGCCATCTGTTATTACAACTACATTTATGCGGTTACGTGGTGCATTAAATGATTCCTATTCTGTTCCCATAACGATGACCTTAATTAGATTTCGTCAATATAAAAGATCCTAGAATAGTATCCGCCATGATAAATGTAATTGGGTCTGCGTGTCAACCTCTGTGCACTTTGCAGTCGTACAGATTAAAACCCTTGCTGTGTTTATTCCACCCCATATTTACCTTCTCCAAAGCACATCAAACAGTTTCTGAGCTTCTACTTCCTATCAGTAGTCGGCATTCTCTCGTACGAGCCCCCACACAGCTATTAGTGACCCCTTAACTGTTGCTGGTATATTTGTCACACAGCGAAAGGGGGCAGCCGTGAGTTAAGGAATAGCTCCATGCGCACCTTGCAGTAACTTCAACTTTAGCTGCTAAAAAGTTATAGACTTGGCCAGCTTAGCACAGCAAATGTTTATTTCTGTGTATCCCGGCAACTCTTGACCTATCTATGGTTTGCTGGAGATGGTCCAACCTGCAGAACATATGTGCACAAGGGCGTTGGGAAGGCTGCATATGGCATTACCGTGGTTTACCGTGTAGTCCGCCGCACTAACCCCATCGGCGACCCAGGCCAATACAGATAGCTGGTTTCGAACCTCTCCTAATCCAAGGTCATTTGATACCGCGGCAGTGGTTTTTGGAACCCCAAGTCCAACGGTGACTATAACTTGACGGAGGGCAACAAGCTATGAGATCGAGTGGCTATTAGCTTTTATTCCTTGTTCACAACCTTCCACCTTTCGGACGTCAGACCGTGCTACAGGAAGACCACTACAGCGATTCCGGTATAATTACGGCGCCAACAGCCCAAAATATCAGTACCGCGACTGTTATCTAGCTGAAAAGAAGCAAATCAATCATTCCCGACCACTAAGACTTTAATGAAGATTTCGAGCTTACCGACCATATCTGAATGTAATGTACTCGCTGTGTGTAGCTACTCAGCCTTCTTTCATTACACAGACACTCTGTTTAAATGTCTTTATATTGTTCTTCCCAGTACCCGATACCATAGCGTTCGTCCACTTCCAAACTGGCGATGTTTCTTTTCCCTCTAAGACAAGCATCCACATGTCATCCAAGGATTCCTCTGAAATCTATAAATAAATCAACAACTGTTATTATCCCGACAATGTGGAGCACACCTATAAAGGCATGACCGTAAAAATACCGCACTATATAATATACTCAGTGTCGCCAGGATTACCTTGCAAAAAAATTTACATTATATATATATATATCTATGTATATATATATATATATATATATATATATATATATATTTGCCCAATGCTGAGGCTGATGTTGCATTCATGATGCTTCTTCACCGCAGTTGGGCTAGATCACGTTACCTATGACTATACACCATTAACCTAATCATATCGACTTCGTTTACTTTGAATTGCTCAGTACTCTCTCGATCTCTCTGCCGCACATACTACTGCGGTCTCCTTCGTATGCGTTATCGTGACATACACTTGGTCCAGCGCAGTGATATGCCTGTGGTGCTCCCAATGGCCGAGAATGCTGCAGAAATACTACGACGCTCAAACGCAGTGTTCCATGCATCCTGATGGATAGATGGTGCGAATCAAATGTATGCCAACATGCGTGGACCCACAAGGATACCAGTAGTGAGCTAGCCGGAAAGGAGGTAACGTTTGAGATTGCCGGTAAATTGTTGTTTATTGCGCACTTACTATTCGACATGCAAATGCTCGTAACATGGAAAGGTTGGCTGTTATTCTTATCTACAAGTGGGAGTGTTACACGTTCACCTTATTAGGGTTCTTGAGGATAAATATTCTCCCATTGGGATCGTGATGTATGATGCACAACTGTGAGCCCACCTGAGTCCAGTGCATTGGTGCGAACATTCCGCAGTTGTTAACGCTCAGATTGACTACAACCTCAATAACCAGACGCATGAATACAGGTTACCATGCACTCTAGGAGTTTTCCTTCCTAGGCGTCAGTATCCCCACACAGTGACTGGAGTTCAACTGCATGTGAACACGTTCGTTCTTCTCGAACGACGGTACTTTGCAATCTCAATCACCAGGGCCACACAATTCACGCAGACCTAGTGTCTGGCCAGAGTACCAATGGTTTTGGGAGTGACTTCGAATAGTCGTCAAGCCTCCATGTGAGTGTTACTCATTTGCAATGCCCGCAACACATTGGCCATCCACTATATGCCCAGTTGAGAAAGGCCACAAACGTGTGTGGGTGTGTGTATGAGTGTGTGTGTGTGTGTTGGATTCAAAGGCACACTAATAAATCCCTTAGATTGGTCGCCCGTTCTCAAGCATACCCATCTTAAAAAGCCAGCGGTAATAGTGACGTCGTTAGCGTACATGGGTCCCGTTAACTCCTGGGTACCAAGCGGTTGCTGCTGATAATATTCCACACTCGTTCGTACATTGGATTGAACAATTGGGTGTAGTGATCAACAATTATCCCTGGAATTCATGTACTCTACAACCCTTCCTCGCTTTGGAATGCAGTTTGGAAAATCGGTGTTCAAGACCCAACAACTTTTGTTGCAAGTGTCCACACGTTGGCTCGTCCATGTAAGCTGAATAATCCCGGCAAGTCAGTGACTAGCGATTAACATGCTGATGTTGATGCTACATGTTCTGTCTCATATATTAGTCACAATAATGGGTGTAGCTATATTTCCAGCTGAACATCGCTCATACTGAAGTTAGGATAAGTCAGCCGTTATCGAGCTAAGGTGCGGAAGAGCAAACGTTCCTTTTACAATTTAAATTAAAAATGACCAATCATCTAGATTGACTTAAAAGTAGATTAGTCCAACTATGGTGTTACGGTAGTGTTTAAATAAATATTTAATTGGAAAATATCTTCAGCACAGAAACAATTGATTTGTATGCTGACAGTTTGTTAGTAAATTGTAAGTGGTAAAATTATGATGAGAAATCCAGTTCGCATGGGAATATCATACGTTCAGTTAACCACCTTATCTGCGCCATCTGCCGAGGCTCTTGATACCCATTATTTGTCTGCCCTCATATGATTAACTATGCAATGCTCACTGTTTCCATTGCAAATCACACCATTGGTATGGAGATTTACTGGTTCCCTGCTTTCTTAGCCATGTCTAAGTGGTTCCATTCCAAATCCCGTTGTGAAGATATCATCGTGCCCAGGTGTCCCACGACATACTCATTTCAGAGATATTAGATTATTGAATGTTGTGCAAGGTACTTCTTGTAAGTTTGCTAAAACAGCTTGCACACTCTTTCAAAAGCCGATGATAGAACAGGGAGCAGCGGACTTTTCCACATGTGCATTTAGTACATTTAGTTGTGCATCATTCTACCTGGTAACCATACTCACAGCATTTGCTTTCGTATTTCCATATCTGTCTCAATCTATTGTTGATACCCACACTTCTGACTAAACTTAATGCTGTCGTTTCGGTTCCCATCCAAACGCTAACTAACCACTGACAGTCGTATTGGTTACTTATAATTCGACTTGCGATTTTCTAAAACTAGAGCAATCTGACTGTTCTTCTTTCATTCAATCCAAACTCATGCACGTACGTTGTGCTATGGTTCATGACGGTTAGTATTTCTTCATCCAGTTTGTGGTAGTCCATACACAAGTGTGAACAAATGCCCGTTTGCAACATTGCAGGTACTGTCACTCGAACCAAGGACTTTCGGTATGTCAACTGATATCTCACGTTGAATGACTAAGTGGAAGCCATTTAGAAACAGTTATAAGCACCACAATTCAGCCTGACGGACTGATGGTATCTTCACTCGCGTAACACCATGATCTGCTGACTCGATGTCTAAATGGGACTCGGCTAAAGTACAAAACGCGCTAACATCTGTTCGTGTCTCGATACATTACCACTTGACAGATGGGTCTTATTACATTTCTTCTCGTGTGACACCGTGACTTATTAGGGGTTGCAAAATGAGGTCAATGTATCACATCTCAAGTGTCTCTATACGCCCCATTGTACTGCGGCCGCCTTCAGGTAAACGCACTGAGATTCAGACAAGTCATCAAGGTTGATTCCCGGAACAGCGACAATACGTTGTGATATCCGAATCGAAATGCATGGGCATAGGTAGTATTCTAAACACTGATGGATTGGTCAAGATATGCTAGCGGTCCGAACGAATGACCAAGGGAAAATAAATAGTAACACATGACGGACTGCTTGATGGTTCTACCTCCCTGTTGATTCACGCTCACCTCGGACAACAGACGATTAGAACCGGCTGTGGTTTTACCTTACGACATGGATAGCCTGCAGTGGACATAATCGCACCATTTCCCTGCTACATTGACAAGTTGCTTACGCCATCTCCGTCATTCTTTTTTGGATGGCATCCTTATTCTATATACCGCATGTAAGTCGGGCTTGGGTGCAGTTCATTTTAGAAAAAGAATGATTAACTACTGATTTGGTGCAATCTGGTATCTTTATTGCACCTGCCTAGAACGGATGAGCCACAGGTAACCTAACTTTTTTAGGCTTATTTAACTCGGTTGTATTTCGCGATGACTTCACGTGTTGCCCATTACGATATTGTACTCATCATGATCTATGCCATGCTATTCTTGCTACCTCCTCAAGCGGCGTCTAGTAAGGTTACATACCGAGAGTGAGCT